AACCAATATTTCCAAAAACATTCAGAAAAACAAATCTTCAAAAATATAATAAAAGACTTGCCATAATAAGCTTTTATAGAACCTTGTGATTAATCGTCTTTTGACTTAATTTTCAGATGCTTATGCTCGATGAAGATTTTAAGTCATATTGATTCTCAATTGGAGTGAAGGTTCAAATCTCCTACTTTTCATAATGTACATAACTTTATTTCCTTCAATTTTATTTCATTATTGATGATTTTAAAAAGGGACATAAGGTTAGGAGGTTCAGATGAAAACAAAAACCCATGTGAGAATTTGTGCCTCATCAATCTGAATCATTGTGGAATTCATTTCTTGTGAGCTTAGGTGTGTCACTATTGCTTATAAGGTATATCCGATTATACCTTGTCACGGTCTCATTTTTGCTTAGATATCAAAATGACCAGGGACGATACATTCATTTCTTACATACTAGACAAACTGTCTTTTATGCCACTAATCCCTACCTAGATATAAGCCAACCAAAAATGATGTCTTGAGATCCCGTGATCCATCAACAAGAAAAGACGAAACAAGATAAAAAGAATCAACAAGAAAGCCAAATCATTCACCGAAGAAATACCAAACAAAACAAAAAAAAACTCTACATTTGGTATTTTCAAACAAAGTTCAACCAAATGGTTATTTCAAAGCAAACATCAAAAGATCTCGTGATCTGTTTTTAACCATTTTTCACAAAAAGGGATATCTTAATCCCGCAAGATAGATACTCTCAAAAATCCCAATTTTCTCAAATGTAGCAAATTCTCGATGCTAAAACAAAATATCCTTTTACAACAAAAAGATATTGATCAACAAAAAGGATACCATCAAAGAAAAAGCTGCAACAACAATGGATTTCCCGGGATACTGTAGCCTTCATCAATGAAATTCTTAGTTGCAAACTGCACTATGAAAATTGCTAAACCCCTCTACATGTATTTCCCGACGGAGAGAGAGAAAGTTAATGGCATGAATGAAGAAACCCGCTGAGTAATGCCGAAACCAGTCTTATGTGATTGATTATCTAATAATGAGACTAAGTGACCTTTCAGGAAAAGCATAGTTGAACACCTCCAATATGAGTGTGAGTCGTCAGAGAGAGATATCACTCATTTTTAGTGATCATTAACTTGTTCTGCTGCCAGAACAACCAAACACCCAAGTGAAGTGTGAGCTATACCTATGAGCGTTCATCTGAATCGACCTGTTAAACCACTTGTCGTCATTAATAATGCTATAAAATCTTAAGAAATTTCTTTAGATACATATATGGCTACCCTTTGATAACCGAACCCGAGACTTTGATTCGGAAACAAATTTCTGAAAATCTTTTACATAAGATATGTTAAACCAAGTCACAAACTTTCAAATCAATTGCTATGGTTTTTATATATCTTATCTATTGACAAATCTTTTATCTCGAATCTTCAAAAGTTAAACTGTCAATATGATTATATCCTGTCCTTATTTCAGCAATGATCACATAGGGGGAAATTGTTGAAAAATGTTCTTATGTAACCTAGTATGTGACCATCACTGAAATAAGATGAACTGTTTTTATACAATCTAACAAATATTATCAGTTATTTCAGGTTGCATGAATGCGTGATAAAACGGAAAATACGAAAACACGCGAATGACGAAAACACATATGTGTGACTAAACAATTTCAACAATATATATATATATATATATATATATATATATATATTATATGTGTGTGTGTGTGTGTGTGTATTATATACATATGTATATTATATATGTATATATGTTGAATAGTCAAACAAAGAAATGTCAACAAAGTCAAGGAAATGAAAGCAAAAGACCCCCACGTTTTTGCCTCCTACTCTACATCAACTTGCAGCCAACTCTCCATATACTCAAGTGCACTAGAAGATATTTGTTTCATGCATATATGTATACATGAGTTTGTGTGTGTAAGGGTGTGTGTTCATTTTTGTAATCTTGTAACACTTCCTACAAACTACAAACACTCCCAAGAACATCAAAATCATCATCTTCTTCAAGAACAAAGACAAATCCCTGGAGAAAATGAAGAACACCAAGATCAAACAACAATGAAGTGAAGAACACCAAGATCATCAACAAGCTAAATGAAGAACACCATCAACCATCTTCATCTTCTTCATTGAAACTCAAGGTTCTTCATCTTCACTATCCTTGTTCATCACACCATTTACCACCAAACACCTCCCTTATATTAACCTCCTTCCAATCTCAAAATAATCTCCAAACACCCTCCAAATACCCTCCTTAAACCTCCTCCAAAAACCCTTTCAAATCACCACAACCATCACCACCTTGCTGTTTTTCGACATCAGAATCTTCAAGTCAAAAACGAAGAAAACTGGGCTCGTTACAAGCACAAAAAGACTAGGGAGATTTTCACCATCAATTCTTCAGGACCTTACCTACATCTAGAAATTTTCGTGGACGATTTTGACCACGGGAAACCCCAAAGAGACGCGAGAGAGAATTGGCTATCCAGAGAGATTTCTGTTTTCAAGTTCAGAATCTGCATGTTAGAAAACAGAAAACCGAGCACAACACAGCCAAAATAAGACTAGGGAGATTTTCACCACAAATTCTTTAGAACCTTACTTCATCTAGGAATTTTCGTGGACGATTTTGACCACGGAAACCCCAGAGAGACGCGAGAGAGAAATGGCTATCCAGAGAGATTTTCTGAAAACTGAAGGTTTTTAATCTGTGTATGCAAGGATCTGCGCGAACACGACCCGTGTTGTTTTTGCCTAAATCAACACGACCCGTGTTCAGGATTTTGACCTTTAAAACCTTCTAAAAACCTCCTACACGACCCGTGTCACTTGTGCCTTATTCTACACGACCCGTGTTCAGAAGCTTCATCAAGAAAACCCTCCAAAACCCTCCTACACGACCCGTGTCACTTGTGCCTTATCTTACACGACCCGTGTGCATGTTTTTACCCAAAAATACTTCAAATACAAATACATAAACCCATGTATTTTGTACCCTTTTGTAAACACTTGTTTTACATAAAATCGAGCTTTAAATGAACTTTTGTTACTTATCCAATGCCGGATTGATCTTTGAACTAATATAGACCAGTCGCTCCAAGAGTCCCAATATCGACCAGTCCATTCAAAGAACATATATCGACCAGTCGCTCCAAGAGTCCCAATATCGACCAGTCCATTCAAAGAACAAATATCGACCAGTCGCTTCATGAGTCCGGTTCAGTCAATTTATTGACGAACCTACTTGATATATATTTATATATTTATATACTTTATTATAGCTTTACGTCATTTAAATATAGTCATTTATATTATTTATAGCTTTATGTCATTTAAATACAGTCATTTATATTATTTATAGCTTAACGTCATTTAAATACAGTCATTTATATTATTATAGCTTTCAGTCATTTACAGCTTTAATATTTATACTTATTCCGCAATTCTTATTCTTTATATATATATATATCTATCTTATATCTTAAACTAATATATCTGTCACACAGTAACTGGTAACCGAGCCTTTTGTTGTGGTGATCAGATTGTTATATTTCCAACAAATTGGTATCTGAGCTGATATATAAAAGGAATAATATCCAACAAATAATTAATTAAAAAAATTATATATAATATATGCGGTGCGATGGGGTTTTTTTGCGGTTATTGAAAACTAATAACCGCACCGCACCGCAAATTTGCGGTTTTTGAAAAACAGAAAACCCCACCATTAGTTTTTATTGTAGTTACGGATTATTGGTTGCGGTTTTTGCGGTTAATTTTAGTTGCGGTGCGGTTTTTGTTCACCCCTAGTGGTCTGTCATATAGTAGTCCCTAACGAACTGACTATATGACTTGAGAAGCGATTGAAGAACCAAATCAACAACTAGCTTCCTTGGGAAGATGACACCCAACATTCCCAATCTGTCAATGCAACTTCATCTTATCATATGTGTGCACACACAAAATTTCCATCTTGGTACTTGCATGCCAATAGGGCTTGAGTGACCTTGAACTTTTCAAGTCGATGAAAATGTGGGTTAGGGAGAATCACTGGATGAGGTGGAGGAAGAGAAGTATGATTTCTAGTTTCACCAATGCATGAAAAAGGGAATGATAAAGTTCAATGGATTGTGGATGGCTTATTTTCAATTAACTTCAGGCTTATATGGATGAATTAAAAAGGGTCGTTGAAGAATATAAATACAGATAATATAAATTCAAAACTTTAAATTACAAAAAAATAAAATAAATATAGAGTGAATTACACGATTGGTCCCTATGGTTTGAGGTAATTTACGTGTTTGGTCCTTAACTTATTTTTTTAACTCGGAAGTCCCTACTGTTTGTTTTTGTTACGCCATTGGTCCCTACTATTTGTTTTTGTTACGCGTTTGGTCCCTATCTTACCTAAAAAGACTATTATTTAAATAGGGAAAAATTGTGGGGTAGGTAAGGTATGGTGAGGGGATGAGGTTGATGGTGTGTTTTTTTTAAATAAATTAAAAAATCAAGGGCAAAATAGGTTTTTTAGGTAAGACAAGGACCAAGTGCGTAACAAAAACAAATAGTAGGGACCTTCCGAGTTACAAAAATAAGTTAGGGACCAAACGTGCAAATTACCTTAAACCATAGGGACCATTCGTGTAATTTACTCATAAATATATTAAGGATATACATTGTCGCTTTCCAAAAACAAAATACCGAAAAAACTATATAAGAAAAGATAGAGACTCCTCTCCCGCGTCTTCTTCATCCAACTCTTTGTTCCTATTTTTACGCTCATTGCCGGTAATCACCGCTCATCCCTCATCGTATACGAATTATTTGAATCGTAAGTCGTAATTAACCCCTCTGATATTTGATTGTAGGTATTCGACGATCTTTATTTATTACTGCTTATTCTTTTTCTGGAAAACTGTTTCATAATGGCCAATGTATATGAGGTTGGAACTGAGAATGGTAAGTTTCTTTCTGGTTGGACATGTTGAGGTGATTGGTGACAAGGGTTTTAGAAACGAAGTCTCTGGATTGGAGACTAATTCCATTGATCTTGAGTCTGCAATTAAAAAGGATTTCCAGGTGAAAGGTGTCAACGAAGAAGTGAATATTAAAAGAGAAACAAATGGGAATCATCTTGAAGTGGAGAACGTAAATGAGTCAGAAAATGTAGTAGTGGAAATAGTTGATCTTGATTCTGGGAAAAATAACCAACACAGACTGTAGTTTGATTACAACTGAGACTTCTCAACCATTGGAGGACTCAAAATCCCAAGAAAAGGCCTCTCGGTTTTTGTTGCTATTGCTGTTGCTACTACTAATGCAATCAAGACTGTGCAAGACACTTTGAGCCCAGATTATGATGCATCACAAATGGCCAACGAGACTGAACAATTTCATTGATAATTAGAGATGAGACTATAATTTCACAGTTGGTAGAAGTGAGTGTTGATAAAACTCAAACAAATACCCAACAGCCTGCTACTGAATATGTGAATATGTGAAGTCAGAAAACAAGAATGTGGAGATGTTATTACAAAAACATGGGGTTCCTCAAGTTACAGAGCATCAGTAGTGTGTTAAAAGATCCTAAGAACATAAATCTTGTGTTGGAAGTCTTGAACAGGAAGTTGAACCCATATGTGGAGTCAACATTAACACTCCAGACACGATTATTGATGATTTACAAAACAAAAGTGCTGAAAACCAGAAAAAGAAAATAAAGGAGCTCCTGAATGTACGTATATCAACTACTACTTTATTTATATACTACATAATCTAAATTTTTATTTCTTTATTCTAGAGCTACAGTGATCATCAATTTTTTTTATAGTTCGATAACTTATTGCCAGGATCTAATTATTGTATAGCTTGAATTTTATTTGATTGACAATAATGCTTCCCTAACGGCTAACAGGGAGGCTAAAAGGGCTGTTAGATTTCCTAAAAGTTGGTCCATTTTTTATTCAATGCAGAATATAGAGGAGACTTGACTCTTTAAAAGATAATGTTTTAAAAGCTGAAGTGGCTGCGTTAGTAATAGGAAAAATATATGATGAAGAATACGAAAAGGGAAAAGAAGTACGAGCTCGATTCCAAGTTGCAGAAGAAGTCTGCCAACAAGCTTATACACTTTTTTATAGTTTGAAGAAACGTTTATATGACAAGGTTTGTTGTAAATTCTTGCATCTTACACAAAATGAAACATAATATAATAATTATAATTTTCTGTTGATTGAATCTGCAGAAAAAACTTTTCTATATGTACAAAGAAGATGCGACTGCAGCAAGGAATTTTGCATCCGGTGGAGATAAAGTTGCATTTCATCACCCCTGTGTTAATCAGGTTCGTTATCTTATCTTCTCGATATTCTAATTTCATATTTAGTATGTGGTTTGTGACTAACATGTTCTTTAATTACTTTAGGTGGAAAAAATATTGGAAGAATCCAACTCAAATGAAGAATTTAGGAAAGACTACATTAGCAGGACCACACCAAGTACACTTGTTGAAACTTCGTTTGAGAGTCATATGAATGAAAGAATTGCTGTGAAAGCAGTTCCTATCTCAAGTAAATTGGAATCCACTTCAGTAGTTTCAAAAGTTGAACTAGGAAAAAAGACAGTTTCATGTGTGAGTGATATCAGCAAAAGAACTGCTACGAATTCAGTTCCTATCTCAAGTGAAACCGAATCCGTTTTATTGTTTTCAAAAGTAGAACAAAGGAAAAAAGACGACTTCAACCCCTGAGAACCAAACTATCTGGAAAGTGACTAGAAAGGCTAATCGTATAATGAAAACCACAAAACCTGTTAAATTTGTAGTAAGAGATAAGTTCGTTTGTTTGAGTGAGATAGTGGAGGATGAAAAAATGGAAAAAACTATGGTGGAGGTTGATAAGAAGGAAGATGAACTAAGTAAAAAAGAGATCGAATGCAATTTGAAAGAGCAAGTGCGGTTGGAGGAAAAGAGAAAAATGAACTGAGGCAATCGAGAGGAAGACACGAAATGCTGAAAATGCCCAAAAACGGGCTGAGTTGCGAGCTCAAAAGGAAGCCAAGCAGAGACAGAAGGTAACTTTTAAATGTCTTTTTATCATTTTATTTTTCTTTGCATTATAGAAAAGGTTTTGGTTCATACATGTACACATTGTGACAACCCGAAGTTCGTTCCGTTGTTGTAACCCGTTCGTCGTTAAAAATTCTTCGTCTTGAATTGTTTCCGTTCATTTCAAAAATTAAGTCATTTATTTGAGTTTGGTTAATATGACTCAATAATTGTCCAAACACATTAGAAACTCGTGGAAACGTTCCAAATTTTATTTAGAAAAATTTTAGTTTTATTCCGTCAAGTTATAAAATAATTAAATCGGGTACAACCAAAAGCCCCGCTTATCAGCAGTATCGGGTAGAATTTCACCGTGTCCTAAACCTTGAGCATATATAAAGTTGAGAGAGCCTCATTTGAAGCTTTTCCACTCTCTCTCTACTCTCTCTCTCTCTACTTTCTCTCTCTAGAAATCGAAATCAAGCTAAAATCATCCAAAACAAGCTCCAAATCGTTAAGGTAACTATCCTAGCTTATAGTATAACACCTTTGGCCTTCAAATTCATGAGAAATATGAGGAATAGGACCCTAAACATGTGTTTACGGTCCTAGAACCTCCTTAGGCCGTGAACACATGTAATGAGGGGTTTTGAGCCTTAAAACCATTCCAAAACTCATTTGGAGCCTAGATATGACCTAAGGACTTGTTTGCATGGACTTAGAACACCTTTAACTCTTCATTTGGGGCATAAGCATGAGTTTACGGCCCAAGCACATGCTTGGACCGTAAACACCTATTCTTGGGGAGTAAACTCAATTTAAGGTGTTAGTTTGCCCCTGAACACCTCCAACAAGCTTCCATGAGAGTATAGAACCCTATAATCCTTCATGAAATGCACCAAAACATACACAAATGGGACAAGCTTGAGTTTACGGTCCAAGAACATTCTTAGAGCGTAAACTCATCTCCTTAGACCTTAAACTCATCCAAGGGGTGTTAAAGTGCCCTTAACACCTTGTATGGCTTAGAATGGGTCTAGAACTTAGTATGCTTGACTTTCAATCACCAAAACCCATGAATCTTGGACAAACATGAGTTTATGGTTGTAAACTCATGTGTTTAAGGTAGTAAACTCCCAAGAACATCTTCATAGACCGTAAACTACTTTTCCAAGGTCAATTCAAGTCCCAATCACTTCCTAAGCCATGGAATCCACCCTTGAACCTTCCTATGTGCATTGTAACGACCTAGGACCACCAAAACATCAAAGGAATGAGTATGGGGGAGTTTACGGCCGTAAACTCCTAGTTTACTGCCGTAAACTCCATTTGATGGTCCATTTGTGGGTTTAATTCCTTTCCATGCCCTAGATTTGATCCTAGCCAATGTTCCCAAGTGAAATAAGACCATTTAACACCATAGATCACCCCACCATGAGTTTACGGCTGTAAACTCATGGGGAATGGGTCATTAGGGCCGTAAACCCTCTTATGAGTTTACTCTTGAGGAGTAAACTCCATATCCAAGCCTTATATGTCCATAGATGTCACCCGAGTCACTCCAAACACTTGTCATGAAGTGTTTTCGCGTCTTGGAGTGTATAATCATATCTAAATTGTAGTTCAAATCCTAATTAGATACAAATGTGTATATTTTCATATTACATAGGAACCTCTCACGCGTTGAAGCCCCGAACTAACATTTAACATCCAGTCAGGCACATTCTTCAATCGGTGAGTTCATACCCCTACCACTTTTCAATGTTTTTAGGGGGGTATACAAGCAAAAGTACAAGGAAATCTTGTACTCAAACTTATGATTTTTATTTGATCCATTTCATATTTCGTATGCTTTTAACACGGAAAAATGTATTAACCAATCGTTCAACTTGCAGAGTAACCTTCATGTTATTTGTGAAACTCGTTTTAAAATGTTATATTTTATATTTCACAAATGAATTTCCATATCATTATTGTTAAAAGCATGAATCTTAAAACATTAAAGTGTTCTTGATATAACTCCCCGTAGATACGAAAGGACAGTTAGAAACAGATAATAATACGAAAGTACACCTAGGAACAGAACGAATACGAATACAAATACGAATAGGGATAGAAACACCAATATGAATACGAATGCGAATACGAATACGAATACGAATAAGAATAGGAATGCGAATACGAATAAGAATAGGAATAGGAATACGAATACGAATAGGAATAGGAATACGAATACGAATACGAATAAGAGTAGGAATAGGAATACGAATACGAATACGAAAGCATGCCTTTGGATGACGCCAATACTTCGGAAATACAGTTAATGTACGCCTTGAGTGTCACTAGAGTTTCGAAAGTACGCCTCTGGACATTGACAGAGTTTCGAAAACATACGCCTTTGGATGTCGACAGAGTTTCGAAGATACGTCTAATGTACTCTTTTGGAAATCACCAGAACATCAAAAATACTGTTAATGTACGTTTCTGAGTGTATCCAAATATTCGAAAATACAACTAAGTATAGTAGATAATCGACTTTCGAATATAGAGTAACTAAGATATCAGAATACCTAACTAATACTATAAGTATGGTAGATACTAGCACCTCGAAATCCGAACTAAGAACTAACCGCAACTTTTAGGAAAATATGGGATTTCCTGGAATAACATAAAAAATCGTAAACGAATGGAAAACTAAACTAATAGGAAAATATGGGATTTTCCTAGGATAACATAACTACTCATAATCGAATCGGGTAACGAATGATAACTAAACTGTTTTGATAAGTAAATATGGGATTTTCTTGGATAACAACTTTTCAGAAAACCAAAAAGGGAACTCATTCTTTTCAAAACTAAACCGCTCATGAACTCACCAGCTTTATGCTGATTTTCAAACTGCTTGTATTCTCAGGTCAGCATTAGACAGGTACACCGCCATCTTTTGGAGAAGACAAAGTGTTTGGAAGACTCATCTTTGCTTTTGTTCATATGATATATATGTATGACACTTGTAACATTTTGATTTCAAACGAATGTAATAACTTTATGTAATGTATTGTTTTGTGTTTACTATGCTTACTATGTACATTGGTTGCGATATTCATGACGTCCTCCACCCCGGAACGTTTCCGCCTTAGGTTTCGGGGTGTGACAGATTGGTATCAGAGCGCTTGTATATAGTGACCTAGTATACCAAACCTTACATGGTATAAGACTATAAACATTAAGGGGCCTAAGTGCTCTGAACTAAAAGTATACCTTCAGATATAAGTATTTTCAAAAGTATACAAGTATACCTAACCGTCGAAATCCGTAACTACAAGTAGAACAAAACATAAGTAAATGGGTGTTGTACGTTGCGGTTAAACCTGGACAGTTATGTAGTCGTGTCTAGGATCAATATAGCCTGGCAAACTATATTCATTCGAGACACGGCCAACATGTGCTTGGGAGTGACTGTAGTGTGCAGCATGCCTAAAACTTACCCAATACCCAAACAACGAGCCGTCGTCACAGCGAATCATGAAATACTATGGGAGTATTTCTCGAGCCAATCCATTGTAGAAATACTCATTCAAGCATTATTCCTCGATCATTCCTTTAGCGATAGTTTATCTGCTTTGATAATTCTTTCCTGCTTTATCGCTTAATGAAATTCTATATCTGTCGTAATGAGATATCCCTTGTATCATATCTCTTGGTTCAATTCAAAGGACTTATGATCCTCTCTTTCCTGGCTATTCTAGATCAAGATGCCTCCTAGGAAAAGACCCATCTCAAAGAACAAGAGCAACCCTCCGCCACCACCACCTCCTCCTCAAATTGATCTTGTCGTGTTCCAAACAGTTGTTGATGTTGCAGTGGCAGCCGCCTTGTCTCACATAAACCCCGGTGGATCAGGAGGTGGTCCCCAGCCTCAAAACCAGGAAGGTAGCCAGGGACACCGAAAGGAGTGTTCCTATAAGGAATTTATGAATGCGAAACCCACATTCTTCGATGGCATTGGAGGTGTCATTGCCCTAACTCGGTGGTTAGAGAAAATTGAATCTATCTTCGAGATCTGTGTCTGTTCAGAATCCGACAAGGTGAAATTTTCCGCCTGCACATTCACCGATAAAGCTCTGACTTGGTGGAACGGCCGAGTCAAATCCTTAACTTTACCTGTAGCAAATGCTATGGGTTGGGAAGTTATGAAGGAACTTCTGTTCGCAGGATACTGCCCTCGGGGTGAAATTCAGAAGCTGGAGCATGAACTCTGGAACCTAAAGATGAAGGGTTCCGATATCGCCACCTACACATCCAGATTCGATGACCTGGCATTACTCTGTCCGGGAATGGTTACCCCGGAGAGTAAGAAGGTTGAGAGGTTCATCTGGGGATTGACCCAGCCAACCAAAGGGAATGTTTTAGCTGTGAAGTCGGATACCTATGACAGTGCCAAATGCCTAGCGCAAACCTTGATCGACCATAGCGATAACCCAGAGGAAGCGGCCACTACTCCTGAGCTGACAGAAAAGAATGGTGAAAAAAGAAGGTTTTGGAAGAAGAAGAAGAAGAAGTGTCAGTCTTCCCCGGTGATATGTGCATAATTAGTTGATTATTTAACATACATTTTTATTCATTTTTAACTAATTATGTGTATAATGTGGACAAAAGGTACTTAATAATGTTTAGATTTTGTTTTCAGTCCAAAAGACATGCTTGGGAGTGAAAGGGAACAAGGTGAAGCAATTAGAGACCAAAGAATGAAGAATGAGGGACAAAAGCCTTCCTACTCGGCGAGTACATGAGCCTACTCGGCGAGTACACTTGAATATTCCAGAAGATAAGTCAAGACTCCTGGCACGAGACGGATAATTACGATCTACTCGGCGAGTTGGGTCTGCTACTCGCCGAGTACACTCTATTTTGTGATAATTATAAAAACCGAGCCTTTATCCGATTGGAATACTTTTCTGGCATTTTTGGAGATTCATCTACGATTGAAGAACCCGTAGAGGAGCTGAGGAACCCTAATCTTCAATATCTTGAAGAATCAGGGCAACTAGGTTAATCATTCCACTTAGCTTTAGGAATTAAGTA